GAAAGCAACTAAATCTATTTCCTCACATTCGACGGCGGTGAAATTCGAATGCGTTATTTGTAAAGGACAACATCCTCTGTTTAAATGCGTCAAATTCTTATCGTACACGCCCGATCGTCGATTCGAATTTATTAAAACTAGTAAACGCTGTTATAATTGTCTCGCCGCGAATCATACGCTTCGGGATTGCAAAAACGAATACCGGTGTCGAGAGTGTCAACAAAAACATCACTCGCTTCTTCATACCTCGAAGTCAGCAGGGTTACCGTGCGACGAATCTTCCAGTTCGAACGAGACAAACAAGACAAATCAGAGCGACGGTATTGTCTCGCTCACCGTGTCAAGGCCTTTGACCGCGACATCAGCTGTCCTCCTCGCTACCGCCCGTGTTCGGATATATTCGCCGCGCGATCGCTTTGTTTGTGCTCGCGCATTAATCGATCAAGGTTCCGCTGCTACGTTAATTTCCGAAAACCTTGCACAACTTCTTCGTCTTCCCCGAATCAACCAAAGTATTTGCATAACCGGCATCGGGAATACGAAATCCTCTGCTCGTTGCGCTGCCTGCGTACGCGTCAGCCCCGCCACAAGCAACGCACCTGCGTATTCGACAACGGCAATTGTATTGCCATGACTCATTACACACCGGCGCGCGTACCAACACAAGCACAATGGGACCACGTCAGTAATTTAGAATTAGCTGATCCTGAATTCCTTAATTCTGATCCCATCAACCTTATCCTAGGGGCCGACTTATATAGCGTCATCCTTCGGGACGGACTCCGAAAAGGCGCTATTAACGAACCTATTGCTCAGAATACCGCTTTCGGCTGGATTCTTTCCGGATCCATGGCCGATTCCAATTCCAATACCGTGTGTACACACCACGGGACCGTTTTCGACGGTCTCGAACAAGCGCTCCGTCGATTTTGGGAAATCGAGGACATACCGAATCCTAGTTTTCCAAGCCCGGAAGACCAACGATGCGAGGAACATTTCCTCGCAACTCATCATCGAGATGCCGAAGGACGATACGTCGTACGTCTTCCGTTCCGAACCCGGCCCCCAATAAAGCTCGGCGACTCCCGAGCTATCGCTTTATCGAACTTGCACCGCGTGGAGCGACAGCTTCAACGTGCTCCTGCTACCGCCGCGGAATATTCCGCGTTCCTAGAAGAATACCAGCAACTCGGTCACATGGAGAAGATCGGTCGGTTCGAAGCTCCAGACCGAGCACCGGAATATTATATTCCACACCGAGCGGTGATCCGCGAACATAGCGATACGACACGACTCCGAGTCGTTTTTAACGCTTCGTGCCGAACTACCAATGGTCAGTCGTTAAACGACTTCCTCCTCGTCGGCTCAAAACTGCAAACCAATCTCCTTGCAGTCATCTTACATTGGCGCCAACATCGATACGTTTTGTCAGCCGACATTGCAAAAATGTATCGGCAAATCCTAATCGATCCTCGTGATACAAAGTATCAATGTATTCTTTGGCGATCTTCCCCGTCGGCTCCCGTCAAA